ATCCATCATTATTTGTAACGCCTGCACATTCGTCTCGAGCGTGATCATTTTTATTGTCTATGCGCATTTGTCGCCAGTAATATATTTTTGTATTTAATTTTATCATCGTCATTGTATACGTCACCGTCGAGCATCTACTTGAAAATCAACTCGTAGAAACCTGGTGTTCCCACGTATCTTATTCCACCGATAATTATATTGTCATCTTTATCCACATCAAAAATTTTATCACCAAACATCATTTCTTCGTTGCAAAATTTAACACCGTAAACATAATCCATACTGTTATTTTTATCTTGACTCAAAATAGCTCGCACATATTTTTGCTCTAGTGGGCCCAAGTGTGCGCGTAATATACTTTGACCCTCGGACGTTTGTAATACATGTTGAACCGACGTAACAAGCGTTTCAGGCTTCGAAAATTTCTTCCACAGATGGAGACGGTATTTCGTGCAATATTTGACTTGATTGTACATCTTTTATCGGAGTAGAACCTAACCTAACCACATTCGATAATTGTTTCATTCGCTTGCGTTTTGATTGATTTGGAGTAGAAGTTATTAGCGAATCGTTTAATGGTATATTTGACCTTGTTCGCTTTGTTCCAGACTCTTTTTTCAGATGCTTGTCTTCAAGCATACTCAATGGTTCAATTTTCGCTTCATTAGATTCCACATTGATTGTATTTTCGACAAGTTGTTTTAGAGGTTCGATAATTGGTTTAAAGTGCCTCACCAATGCGACGTCTTCCTCCATTTGACCGGTTTTTAAAGAACGATATTTTTTGCGGATCGATTCGCTCGTTTTTACAATCTCTCACGCAATCTTCTCACGATCATCGCTGTCAATTGTCGTCGTCATGTTGCGCTCGGACAAAAATTTTTAGACGTTGCTCGATCGATGTATCGATAGCGACTAACCACTTTACGGTATTGCAAAATCGTTAAACCCTTTTCGATATCGTCCATTAGTCTGTAAACTGTCTTTATCAATCACTAAAAATCCATACTCGTGTTGCCAATATTTCTGACAGAATGCGCGAAAATCGCCGTAAGACATGTCAGTATTTACATGATCGTTGTATACATGTTTCAAGTTTGTACCATCTTGTTTAAATAAAATCAGTAAATTTGCATTGTCCCGTATAAGATGCTTGGGTATCTTGGCATACGTTTGACAAAAATAGAAACAGTCGACGCTCGAGTGTCGACCCATTGCAAAGTACTCTTATCGTATCTTGCTTATCGCATGCCACGACGTCAAAGATAAAAATGGAATTCGGAAGCGCCTCGCTCGGTGGAATAACGTCACTATTATTAGAGAATGTAAAATAACCAATTTCATCGATCGATAATAGCAAATTTTCCAAGTATCGATATTTCGGTTGTTGAAGTGATTTCGAATATACGTACACATTCTCGAAATGTACACCGTGTGGACTTTCTATCAACACGTTAGTCTTACCGCAATTCAAAGGACCGCAAATAATACCGCGTATAGTAGTCGGCAGCATGTGTCCGTGCTTGCGTATTCCTTTCTCGGACATTACTCGTGTTTTATCGTCAAAATTTATCACTTTGATTATCGTCGCTTGTCGCGCGAACCGCATGTTTGCTCTCGCAAATCTCAAATCAGATTTTGGAAAATGAGTCATCGGGGCCCTATTTATAGAGGCGCACCAAATCGAAACCGCTCAGTCTCAAAAATGTTTCTTCTTCTATCAGTTGACAGCGATATTCTCGAGCTTACCACCGAACAGTTACAGATTATCCCCAAGATTGTTTTACTGCGAGACTTTGGTAGCTACGTGGAACAATTGTGGGACAAGCTTCCCGAACATATAAAAGCTGACTCAGAGGTTCAACAGTATCGTCGATGCACACGACATTATAATTTGCCGTGGCAACAAACACATCTCAGATCAGATTTTTGGAAAATGAGTCATCGGGGCCCTATTTATAGAGGCGCACCGAATCGAAACCGCTCAGTCTCAAAAATGTTTTTTCTCCTATCGGTTGACAGCGATATTCTCGAGCCTACCACCGAGCAGTTATAGATAATCCCCAAGATTGTTTTACTGCAAGACTTTGGTAGCTACGTGGAACAATTGTGAGACAAGCTTCCCGAACATATAAAAGCTGACTCAGAGATTCAACAGTATCGTCGATGCACGCGACATTATAATTTGCCGTGCCAACAAACACATTTCGACGGTCCAACACCGTTAATAAAAGACTGCGGCAAATGCCAGCAAAAATTATAAGAGGTGGTGGTTTGTTAAATCGTGCGATAAACGCACTTCCTATCGAATTACATATTCCAGGCTATCAGTTTTGCGGACCGGGAACTCATTTAGAAACGCGATTGGCTAGAGGCGATCGAGGTATCAATCCATTGGACGCCGCGTATCGCGAGCACGACATAGCTTATTCCCGAAGCAACGATCTCGGTCAACGACACGTTGCAGATAATATACTCGCCACGAAGGCGCGAACACGTATTACCGCGAGAGATTCGACTATTGGTGAGAAAGCAGCCGCTACAGCTGTTTGGGCGGCTATGAAAGCAAAGACAAAATTCGGTATGGGGATGAAAACAAAAAAATCATCGATGAAGAAAAAGACTGCGAAAAAACGAATACTTCCTATAGCGAAGCGCGGTGGTATCTTACCCATTTTACCATTATTGGGAGTTCTCGGTTCATTGGCTGGCGGAGCAGCGGGAAACGCAGAAGCAGTGAACGATAGCAAGGCGGCGCAACGTCAGCTCGAAGAAATGCAGCGTCATAATCGCGCCATGGAAGGTCACGGTCTTTATCTCGCTCCATACAAGCGCGGACAAGGGTTCTCAGCAGCGGCCAAGAAAAAGAAACGTCAAAATAAAAATGCCTGCCGGTGTAACAACTAATGTACAATGGGAACAACTTGCAAGACGTATGCGTATACAACTTTTTAGAGGCGTTTTCATGCGCAATAATTTACCGATAAACGGTATACGGCGAAATGAGAGCGGTATCGTCAATTTGGATGACGTCGATGGTTTCGGTACTCATTGGGTTGCATATGCAAAGAGGGGAGATCGTGTAGTATATTTCGATAGTTTTGGAAATCTTCGACCGCCCAAGGAATTAGTGCGATATTTTGGACAGAATGTAACAAATATAGAATACAATCACACGGCCTATCAAAATTATAATCAAAGTATTTGTGGACAAT